CGCCTGAACTTTTTCGTATAGAGAAAAGTTCAGTGCATGAACTTTTTCGTATAGAGAAAAGTTCAGTGCATGAACTTTTTCGTATAGAAAAAGTTCGTCGGCTGTACTGTTTCGTATAGAGAATAATTGTTCGACTGAACCTTTTCGTATAGACAAAAAAAGTTCATCGCCTGAGGGAATATGTTTATTCAATCACATTTTCTCTACAGGAAAGACCAACCTTCGCAAAAATTTCAACCCCTGACCTTTTATACAGGATTGAGTACAATGTAGTTTTTCACTTACCACTTTCTCCAATTTCCTGCCCAAATTTTTTCCGCCATTGAACTCTCTCAGTTTCAAAATTATATCCTCAAAACTGTATGAATTCATGTCTCCCATATAATCGTTGATGTACAGATCCAGAGTATGGAAAAAATAGGTGACGCTTGCGACGCTGATAACAATAACAGCTTCCGGAATATAGATTGTGAAAATAAAAATAAAATAGGCGGCAATGGTATTTGAAATAATTATATTGGAGCGACAGACAAACATTTCTAATTTGAAAATTTGCTGCAGCTGAATCAAGCAACGGCATAGCTTGGTGTGAAGTTGTAGCAGTTCGTAAAGGCTGGAATCGAATGTGACCATGTGACAGGGTGATTTTACAGCTTCTTGGGCTATAAATGCTATAGTGATGTCCAAGTTGTGGAAACACCGACACAGCTTCCAAATCATTTGAAAGTATTGAAGCAACACCATGTAGGGCAGTATCTGCGTATGAGTGTAGCAGAATTTCAGGGGAATGTCCAAGAAGTAGTTGTCATACGACACGGAGCCATAGCTTATCAACAGGATGGCCAAATATAAGTAGCTGATAATACCATATTTTAAATAGGCCAAACAGCGAAATTTGCTTTCAATTCGATTGGACGAACAGAGTTTGCTCCCGTTGTCCCTTTCCAAGTGGAAAATTCTTTGTTTCAATTTGGTATAGGCTTCATCATATCTCCATATGTGAATTACCGTAAAAATAACCAAAACACCCTGAACATATTTATAGCAGGATACAACGATTAGTAATGGATTTAAATCATCAAAGCCTTCAAATAATTCGAAGGAGTCGAATAACAGATGCAGCAACAACGCCACTCCCACACTGTGGGCCAAAAAGACAGTGGCACGGCTAAGGATATTTCGTTGAAATTTTCCCCGACTTTCGTCATACCAATAGGCGGTGAGTCCTTGTGCTATGAAAAAATATTGAAAATAATTTTGAACATTTCCACAGAAACTTTTAACGAATCGATTCATATTTTGAAGGGGGAAAACTTTGTAATTCCGCTGACAATTAACGACTTCTGTTGCGAAGGAAAATAAGTTACACTAGTAACTGGGCATGTTCATTTCTTTGGATATTTATTGACAGATCAAAAGATAACTTGAACATTTGAATTGACATATAAAAGTATTCAAAGATATGATAAACGCACCATATACGGTATGATAAGCATAAGTTCATACGATGAACTGCTTTCTATACGAAAAAGTTCATGCGATGAACTGTTTTCTTAACGAAAAAGTTCATACGATGAACTGTTTTCTATACGAAAAAGTTCATACGATGAACTGTTTTCTATACGAAAAAGTTCATACGATGAACTGTTTTCTATACGAAAAAGTTCATACGATGAACTGTTTTCAATACGAAAAAGTTCATACGATGAACTGTTTTCTATACGAAAAAGTTCATACGATGAACTGTTTTCTATACGAAAAAGTTCATACGATGAACTGTTTTCTATACGAAAAAGTTCATGCGATGAACGTTTATCTATAAGAAAAATTTCATACGATGAACTGTTTTCTATACGAAAAAGTTCATACCATGAACTGTTTTCTATACGAAAAAGTTCATACGATGAACTGTTTTCTATACAAAAAAGTTCATGCGATGAACGTTTATCTATAAGAAAAAGTTCATACGATGAACTGTATTCTATACGAAAAAGTTCATGCAATGAACTGTTTTCTATAGGAAAAAGTTCATACGATGAACTGTTTTCTATACGAAAAAGTTCATGCGATGAACGTTTATCTATAAGAAAAAGTTCATACGATGAACTGTTTTCTATACGAAAAAGTTCATGCAATGAACTGTTTTCTATACGAAAAAGTTCATGCGATGAACGTTTTCCTATACGAAAAAGTTCATGCGATGAACGTTTTCCTATACGAAAAAGTTCATACGATGAACGTTTTCCTATACGAAAAAGTTCATGCGATGAACGTTTTTCTATACGAAAAAGTTTATGCGATGAACGCTTTTCTATACGGAAAAGTTCATCCGATGAACGTTTTTCTATACGAAAAAGTTTATACGATGAACGTTTTTCTATACGAAAAAGTTCATACGATGAACGTTTTTCTATACGAAAAAGTTCATACGATGAACTGTTTTCTATACGAAAAAGTTCATACGATGAACTGTTTTCTATACGAAAAAGTTCATACGATGAACTGTTTTCTATACGAAAAAGTTCATACGATGAACTGTTTTCTATACGAAAAAGTTCATACGATGAACTGTTTTCTATACGAAAAAGTTCATACGATGAACGTTTTTCTATACGAAAAAGTTCAAACGATGGACGTTTTTCTATACGAAAAATTTCATACGATGAACTGTTTTCTATACGAAAAAGTTCATACGATGAACGTTTTTCGATATGAAAATGTTCATGCGGTGAACGTTTTTCGATACGAAAAAGTTCATGCGATGAACGTTTTTCGATACGAAAAAGTTCATGCGATGAACTGTTTTCTATACGAAAAGGTTCATGCGATGAAAGTTTTTCGATACGAAAAGGTTCATTCGATGAACGTTTTTCTATACGAAAAAGTTCATGCAATGAACATTTTCCGGGAGTCAATAGGAGTATTAGTATCTTTCTTAATTTATGTGTCCTTTTTGTCTATAACTTCCAATTTCGGTTTGAATCAATATTGTGGTGTACAAAACGGTTTGAGCAATTATTGAAAATAGAGAGCCTACATTTATTGCAACCATGCCGAAAATTTTGATCTCTGCAGAGTTTAGGCAACAGCTCAGGTTGACCTTCTCAAGCTGTAAATAAAAAGAAATATTAATGGGATATTGGAGATATTTTTCAAACTTTTTTCACTCTACCTCTTCTTCTTCCTCCTGGCTCCCTAAATTGATATAGTCTTTTAGAATCCCCTGAGTTTCCTTGAGGGTACACATCACCCATTCACAGATCATAAAATACAAATACATGTGCACCAAAATGCAAAGATAGAAGCTATCACCGAAAAGATAGTCATAACGATGCAAGTTTTGTCCCGGCACCAAGAAGATCATATAGATGGCATAGCCCACCATGGAGTTGGATATGACCAGGCAAAGGAGTATACACAATATGGAGGGATTGTAGATTTTGTTTAGTTGCAGGAATTTTTGACGTAGCTGGGCGTAAATTAAAGTTAGCTTTGGATCCTGATAGTTGGAGAGTAGTTGACAGTTAATCTGGGAGAGACATTCGCGGAGATAGCACAACAGAATGGCATGTTGCAGCATAAACAAATGCTGGACACCCAACATACCCAGGAGGGGATATAGTTGAATGGTTTTTCGATATTGCCTCCGAATGGTGCTCCTTTGAATGTCCACAACCAAAGTGGTGAGGTGAACAAATGTCAGGACACCATTCACATACAACCATTTGCGATGTCCAGTATGCCTGGGTAAATCTCGTAAACGGTCAAAATATGAGCTCTGGATATCCAATACCGATTCGAACCATTGTCTTAGTTCACGATCTCTATGGGGTCGTGTCAGGCTGTATACATACATGATGACCAGTCGCATGACCAGTGTCAGAAAATTGGCATATTTGGCCACCGGATTTGCGACATAGTACTGGGCCTGTTGGACAGTATAGAGGACCGTGTAGGGCATGTATAGCACAAACGTAAGGCAATTGCAAGTCACATAGAATTTGATGAAGAAATTTGCCGCCTGCAGTTGTCTTCTCTCAAAATCAACTCTCAGTAGTGTTGAACCCAAATAAATACTGAAGAAGACCATGAATTTCATTAGCAAGCGATTCCAATTCATTTTAACCGTCGCGAAGTAAATTACTTATACTAATGGGAGCTTGTTGTGTGTGGAAGTCTGGCTAAGTATTGTTTGAGTTGTAGTCAAGTGTTGATGGTATCCGTTTGAAGAAAAAAATCGAAAAATCAATAATTAAATAATATTTCTATATGAAAAATTTCATAACATGAATGTTTTTCTATGCGAAAAAGTACATATGATGAACGTTTTTCTATACGAAAAAGTTCATACGATGAACGTTTTTCTATACGAAAAAGTTCATGCGATAAACGTTTTTCTATACGAAAAAGTTCAGGCGATGAACTTTTTTCTATACGAAAAAGTTCATACGATGAACGTTTTGCTATACGAAAAAGTTCATACGATGAACGTTTTGCTATACGAAAAAGTTCATACGATTAATGTTTTTCTATACGAAAAAGTTCATACGATTAATGTTTTTCTATACGAAAAAGTTCATACGATGAACGTTTTTCTATACGACAAAGTTCATCCGATGAACTTTGTTTTCTATACGGAAAAGTTCAAGCAATGAACTGTTTCTATACGAAAAAGTTGAAGCAATGAACTGTTTCTATACGAAATAGTTGAAGCAATGCACTGTTTTCTGTACGAAAAAGTTTGAGCACTGAACTGTTTTCTATACGAAAAAGTTCAAGCACTAAACTGTGTTCTGTAAGAAGAAGTTCAAGAATTGATCTATTTTCTATACAAAAAAGTTGAAGCACTGAACTGTTTCTATACGAAAAAGTTCATGCACATAACTGCTTTCTATACTACAAATTTCAGGTCATGAACTTTTTTCTACACGGAAAAGTTCATCGAATGAACTTTTTATCAGACAGAAAAATAAATGACACATTCTTGAATTCAATAATTTTCAATTTGCTTTAATTCTGTAATTTTCCATTTCAGTTTGAATCAAAAATGTTGTGTACAAAACCGTTTGGGCAATTATGGAAAATAAGGCTCTCAAATTAATTGGAACCATGCCGAAAATGTTTATTTCCGCTGTATATATGCAACAGCTCAGGCTGACTTTTTTAATCTGTAAGAGATAAAGGATATTTGAATTAAAAAATAAATTTTATTATAGGGTTCGCTCCCACCTCCTCTTCCACTTCCTCGCTCCCCGAATTGATATGTTCATACAGAATCGACTGAGTTTCTTTGAGGCTGGTCATAACCCATTCACAGATCATAAAATACAAATACATGTGTAGCAGAACACAGAGATAGAAGCTATCACCGAAAAGGTAATCATAGCGATGAATATTTAGTCGTGGCACCAGGAAAATCATAAAGATGGCATAACCAACCATCGAGTTGGAGATGATCAGGCAGAGGAGTATACACAGTATGGAGGGGCTGTAGATTTCATTTAGCTGCATTATCTTTTGACGGAGCTGGGAGTAAATTAAACTTAGCTTTGGGTCCTGATAGTTTGCCAGCATTTGATAGTGAATTTGGGAGAGGCATTCACGGAGATAACACAGCAGGCTGGCATGTTGCAGCATAAACAAATGCTGGACACCCAACATTCCCAAGAGGGGATATAATTGAATGGCCTTCTGATATTGCCTCCTAAAGACACTGCGTTGTATGTCCACCACCACAGTGGTGAGGTGGACAAATGTCAGACAGCCATTTACATACAACCACTTGCGATGTCCGGTATTTTTGGGTAAATCGCGCAAACGATCAAAATATGAGCTCTGGATATTCAATATCGATTCGAACCATTGCCTTATTTCCCGATCTCTTCGGGGTAGGGTTAAGGTATAGACATACATGATGACCAGACGCATGACCAGTGTCAGTAGATTGGCATATTTGGCCACCGGATTTGTCACATAAACCTGGACCTGTTGGATGGTAAAGAGAACGGTGTACGGTATGTATATCACAAATGAAAGGCATTCGAAAATGACGTAGACTTTTATGATGAAATTTGGCGTCTTTAGTTGTCTTCTCTCGAAATCTACTCTTAATAGCGTTGAACCCAAATATATGCTGAAGAAGACCATGAATTGCATTAGGAAGCGATTCCAATTCATTGTAAACGTCCGGCAATGAATAACTTATACTAATGACAATTTGTTTTGCATTGAAGTTGGGTTAAGGGTTGTTTGAGTTGTAATCACACGTTGATGATATATCCGTTTGAAGATAGACATCGAATGAATCAATAATTGAATAAAATTATTTTTTTTATGACGACAGTGGAGCGAACTGATAATACTAATAAATATTTTTAAAAATGTTTTTAAGAAAGGCTTCGTTTCTTGTGGACCTTGGCTTATACATTGAAACAAAAAATTCGTGATACTTTCGGTCTTAAATAAAATATTTTTAAAAACTTCTAGTTGTATTGAGCCCTAAAAATATTCCTAAGCAATTGAAACAAAATTCCAAAAAATAACGATCCACGTTGTATTGGACCTTAAATTATTTTTTTTTTTTTTGAAAACTTGAGTTGTCCTAGGCTTTAAAGAAAATATTTTTAAAAAATCCTCGTTTCGTATTTCCATACGAAAAAGTTCATACCATGAACTGCTTTCTATACGAGAAAGTTCATGCACTGAACTGTTTTATATACGAAAACGCTGAACTGCTTTCTATACGAATAAGTTCATTTACTGAACTGTTTTCCATATGAAAAGGTTCAAGCACTGAACTGTTTTCAATACGATAAAGTTCAAGCATTGACATGCTTTCTATACGAAAAAGTTTATACACTGAACTGTTTTCTATACGAAACAGTTCATACACTGAACTGTTTTCTATACGGAAAAGTTCATACACTATACTGTTTTCTGTACGAAAAAGTTTATACACTGAACTGTTTTCTATACGAACAGGTTCAAGAACTGAACTTTTTTCAATACGACAAAGTTTAAGCACTGAACTGTTTTCTATACGAAAAAGTTCATACACAGAACTGTTTTCTATAAAAGTTCATACACTGAATTGTTTTCTATACGAAAAAGTTCATACACTAAACTGTTTTCTGTACGAAAAAGTTCATGCACTACACTGTTTTCGTTGAAAAAATCAACGATGCATTGGGAATTAAATAAAATACTTTCAAAAATTCCACGTTTTCTTGGGCCTTAGTATAAAATATTTTTTTAAAAAATCTTTGATGCCTGTGGCCTTAAATAATTTTTTTTAAATCCTCGTTGTCTGGGGCCCTAAATAAAATATTTTTAAAATAATCATGATCTCTTGGGCTTATAAATAATATTTTTAAAAAATCCTCGTTGTCTAGGGCCCTAAATAAAATATTTTTAAAAAAATCCTTAATGCCTTTGGCCTTACATTAAAATTTTTTAAAAATCGACGTTGCCTTAGGTTTGAAAAAAATACTTAGAAAAAGTCCTCTAAGCAAAATATTTTTTAAAAAATCCACATTGTCTTAGGACTTGAAAATATTTTTTTGGAATAAAATTTCCAAAAAATATATGTGGAAAAAAATATAATTTCCAAGTTTTTTTTTTTTTATACGGAATTTCATCAGCTCTTATCAGATCATCAGCATTAATTAACCTTTTTTAACTTATCTCCCTTTTCCTGTACTAATGACCATAATTTCTGATAGTGAATCCGATATGACCACATGACGGCCACCAAAAATCACAGTCTGCCGTCCAACTGAAATTAGTTCCATAGAATGTATCGTGCGGCTCGCTTTGCAACTGTCATGGCTTATTTATATTCCATCCTGTTTGGAGTCATAGCCTTTACATATGACCTTGAAACGGGTTATGTAACTAAGAAAACACCCTTAACCACCTATTGTCTCTTGATAAACTTTCTCACCGTCTCGTGTGTCATCTATTTTGGCCGTAACATGGAATTGAAAATGGAATCCAGTGATAAACCTGATCTACACAATAAAATATTGGTTGCCCTGACCTTCATACGCATTCTTGGAGTATCACTGACTTTGGTAAACAATTGGTGGCGGCGTGATGAATTCATACATAACCTCAATACATTTAAAGCGTTTCGAGAGCGATTCTTGCGCAAGCATTCGACCAACAAGAGGTATGAGGAATATTTTAATCAGCAAATTGTTTTAAAATTTGGTATTGGGGCGCTGTGTGAGGTGATTATGTTCTATGGATCGGTGCGCATAATGAGGCAAATATTTTCGGTTCGAAATCCGATGGTCATAACGGTTGTAACGACAGGATTTCTCCCCTTGGGCTGGAATAGCTCGTCGGGGTCCAGGGGTTCGTACAGATATTTTATTTATCGAGACAGAAAGAGAAAGACAGTGGTTTACGTTTTGATATTATGTTTTATTTAAAAAAGGAATTTGAATTATATATAAACTCTATATATTCTAACTAGCCTAATCGTCTTCGGTCCGGGTTTGGTGGTTCTTCCACTCGAGACCTGGATAAGTACTCGAGAACGGGATAAGGATACAGGATCAAGGTGTTCAGGATTCGGGATGGATTCCGTGCGAGAGACCTGGATAAGTACTCAAGCAGGCTACTGGATATTCAAGGATACGCTATAGGGATCTAGACTAGGGTTGCCAGAGACCTTAATAAGTACTCAGGCACTACAAGGATCTAGGGTACGTTTGCAAGAGACCTTAATAAGTACTCAAGCACTACAGGATGTTCAAGGATACGGTTGCGGGAGACCTTAATCAGTACTCAGGCACTACAAGGATCTAGGATACGTTTGCAAGAGACCTTAATAAGTACTCAAGCACTACAGGATGTTCAAGGATACGATTGCGAGAGACCTTAATAAGTACTCAGGCACTACAAGGATCTAGGATACGATTGCAAGAGACCTTAATAAGTACTCAAGCACTACAGGATGTTCAAGGATGTGTTTGCGAGAGACCTTAATAAGTACTCAGGCACTACAAGGATCTAGGATACGTTTGCAAGAGACCTTAATAAGTACTCAAGCACTACAGGATGTTCAAGGATACGATTGCGAGAGACCTTAATAAGTACTCAGGCACTACAAGGATCTAGGATACGTTTGCAAGAGACCTTAATAAGTACTCAAGCACTACAGGATGTTCAAGGATACGATTGCGAGAGACCTTAATAAGTACTCAGGCACTACAAGGATCTAGGATACGTTTGCAAGAGACCTTAATAAGTACTCAAGCACTACAGGATGTTCAAGGATGTGTTTGCGAGAGACCTTAATAAGTACTCAGGCACTACAAGGATCTAGGATACGTTTGCAAGAGACCTTAATAAGTACTCAAGCACTACAGGATGTTCAAGGATACGATTGCGAGAGACCTTAATAAGTACTCAGGCACTACAAGGATCTAGGATACGTTTGCAAGAGACCTTAATAAGTACTCAAGCACTACAGGATGTTCAAGGATGTGTTTGCGAGAGACCTTAATAAGTACTCAGGCACTACAAGGATCTAGGATACGTTTGCAAGAGACCTTAATAAGTACTCAAGCACTACAGGATGTTCAAGGATACGATTGCGAGAGACCTTAATAAGTACTCAGGCACTACAAGGATCTAGGATACGTTTGCAAGGATCTAGGATATGTTTAAGGATACCACTGGGATTCAAGGACTAGAGACCTGGATAAGTACTCTAGGCAAGGATGTCCAGGATAAATTTCTATATAGGCACTTACCGGTCTGGTGTTGTCTCGTTCACTGTTTTGCACTCACTGTCCCGATTCTGCCATTGCCTGCCCTTTTATACCCGGCTCCACCACGTGTTCGCAGTGGAGTAACGGGAACTTGTTTACGAAAAATTTGGTTATCACAACAACATCACATGTGCTCATCACCGCCAATGGTAGTGATGAGTGATGCTGTGTGTTGTTGCGATAACGGTTTACCACTCTTTAGTGTGGTTGCTCGCAAGAATTTTGCTAGGCAATTGGGATTTAAGATAGTGTTTTGTGTGGGCAAAAATGACGAAGGATTTTTGCCGTCACACGGTCTTTGGTCTAATGTCGACGGTGTTGAATTTGATGGCCTGTCATTACTTCTTCATAGCTCTTAGTGTTCGAATCCTATTCTGTATTATAGCCGATGAATTGAGGAGACTCCTCACCACCATGGAGAATTTATTTGCCGACTTCCACACCAAGTGCATTGGTCCTGGGCTTTTAAGTGTCAAGAGTTGCCAGCTGGCCGATGAATTCGATGACTTGTCCGGAATGCACACGGAACTTCAAGTGCTCAGTGAAAAAATCAACTCCATGTTCTATGTCCAGGGTTGTTGTGTCTTTTTGATACTCTATTTGAATAATATTTGTGTCCTCTATATCTACTACATGTTGGCCAAACAGGTGGAGCTGGGTCCCCAATTCAGTCATGCCATTCTGTATTTTTTACCCTTGGCATTATTGCTTTACTATGCCGATGGTTATATGCTAATAGATTTAGTATTGCGTTACATGGACGCCATTGAAATGCCGGCCCAGTTGTTAAAGGATTGTGCCGCTTGGCTGCCCATCTTGGATCGTAGGCTAGAGGAAAGTGTATGTATGATGCCTACTTTTAGGCGCTAGTATATACAATTCATTTGTGTTTCATTTTAGGTAAAACTGTTCTCCCTGAAAATGGCTGCTTTTCCCGTGAGTCGGAGTTTGTTGTATCTTTTCGATGTTACCCGGCCCATGGTGTTTGCCACCATCACTTCGACCATCACGAATGCTATTGTTTTGGTGCAGTATGATTATCAATATAATGAAACTTAAAATACTTGAAATATTTGTTTCAAAATATGTATATTTTTTTAAAGAAACATTACACATATTTATTTTTCCAAAAGAAAATTTCATTGAGTTCACATTATCGGATTCCTATATAGAATAGTTCAGCGGATATGGAAAAGTTCATCGGTTGAATTTTTCTATAAATGAAAAGTTCAATGAACTTCTTCCAATACGGAAAAGTTCATCGGATGAACTTTTTTCCTATACGGGAAAGATCATCTTATAATACTAATAAATATTTTTAAAAATGTATAAAAAAAGGCTTCGTTTATTATGGACCTTATCCTATACATTGAAACAAAATTAAGAAAATTTTTTTTTTAAAAAATCCGTGATACTTTCGGTTTTAAATAAAATATTTTTAAAAACTTCTCGTTGTATTAAGCCCTAAAAATATTGCTAAGAAATTGAAACAAAATTCCAAAAAATAACGATCCACGTTTTATTGGACCTTAAATTATTTTTTTTTTGAAAACTTGCGTTGTCTTAGGCCTTTTCCATACGAAAAAGTTCATACTTTTTCCATATGAAAAAGTTCATACAATGAACTGCTTTCTATACGAGAAAGTTCATGCACTGAACTGTTTTATATACGAAAACGTTCAGAGGATGAACTTTCGTGTACTGAACTGTTTTCTATATGAAAAAGTTCAAGCACTGAACTGTTTTCCATATGAAAAAGTTCAAGCACTGAACTGTTTTCTATACGAAAAAGTTCATTGACTGAATTGCTTTCTATACGAAAAAGTTCATTCACTCAACTATTCCTATTGTCTCTTGATAAACTTTTTTCCTATAAAAGTGTTGAAAAGTTCAATGAACTTCTTCGAATACGGAAAAGTTCATCGGATGAACTTTTTTCCTATACGGGAAAGTTCATCTTATAATACTAATAAATATTTTTAAAAATGTATTAAAAAAGGCTTCGTTTATTATGGACCTTGTCCTATACATTGAAACAAAATTAAGAATTTTTTTTAAAAAATCCGTGATACTTTCGGTTTTAAATAAAATATTTTTAAAAACTTCTCGTTGTATTAAGCCCTAAAAATATTGCTAAGAAATTGAAACAAAATTCCAAAAAATAACGATCCACGTTTTATTGGACCTTAAATTATTTTTTTTTTGAAAACTTGCGTTGTCTTAGGCCTTTTCCATACGAAAAAGTTCATACTTTTTCCATATGAAAAAGTTCATACAATGAACTGCTTTCTATACGAGAAAGTTCATGCACTGAACTGTTTTATATACGAAAACGTTCAGAGGATGAACTTTCGTGTACTGAACTGTTTTCCATATGAAAAAGTTCAAGCACTGAACTGTTTTCCATATGAAAAAGTTCAAGCACTGAACTGTTTTCTATACGAAAAAGTTCATTGACTGAATTGCTTTCTATACGAAAAAGTTCATTCACTCAACTTATTTCCTATATGGAAAAGTTCATCGGATGAACCTATTTCCTATATGGAAAAGTTCATCGGATGAACTTATTTCCTATATGGAAAAGTTCATCGGATGAACTTATTTCCTATATGGAAAAGTTCATCGGATGAACTTATTTCCTATATGGAAAAGTTCATCGGATGAACCTATTTCCTATATGGAAAAGTTCAACGGATGAAATTATTTCCTGTATGGAAAAGTTCATCGGATGAACTTATTTCCTATATGGAAAAATTCATCGGATGAACTTTTTTCCTACATGGAAAAATTCATCGTATGAACTTTTTTCCTATATGGAAAAATTCATCGGATGAACTTTTTTCCTATATGGTAAAGTTCATCGGATGAACTTTTTTCCTATATGGAAAAGTTCATCGGATGAACATTTTTTCCTATACGGAAAAGTTCATCGGATGAACTTTTTCCTTACACGGAAAAGTTCATCGGATGGACTTTTTTGCTATACGGAAAAGTTCATCGGATGAACTTTTTTCCTATACGGAAAAGTTCATCGGATGAACTTTTTTCCTAAATGGAAAAGTTCATTGGATGAACTTTTTTCCTATATGGTAAAGTTCATCGGATGAACTTTTTTCCTATATGGAAAAGTTCATCGGATGAACATTTTTTCCTATACGGAAAAGTTCATCGGATGAACATTTTTTCCTATACGGAAAAGTTCATCGGATGAACTTTTCTCCTATATGGAAAAGTTCATCGGATGAACTTTTCTCCTATATGGAAAAGTTCATCGGATGAACTTTTCTCCTATATGGAAAAGTTCATTGGATGAACTTTTTTCCTATTCGGAAAAGTTCATCGGATGAACTTATTTCCTATATGGAAAAGTTCATCGGATGAACTTATTTCCTTCTAAAACGTATTCTATGGATAGGAGACCTCTTAAAGTTCTCCTATATCTATCTATAGAAGACATCTAAGACTTTTCAATTAAAATAGGATGAGTTAACCTACCACAGAGATCTTCTGTGGATAATGTGATTTTTGAAGATTTCTAGATTTGTTTTAGAAAGATGGATTTCAGTGGGTATTTTACCCATACAACACCTTTAATGCGCCTCCCATATTCGGAGGACTTTTAAAAAAATCCTCTAAAGACAAGCCCATTTTCGATGAAATTTTTTCTTTTCTTTTTTAATTTATTTTCGATTTCCTTCTAAAACTTCCCATTTCAGTTTGAATCAAGATTGTGCTGTATAAAACCGTTTGAGCAATTATTGAAAATATAGAAGCCAAATTGATGGGAAACATGCCGAAAATATTGATTTCCGCTGTATTGAGACAACAGCTTAGGGTGACTTTTTCAAGCTGCAAAGAAAAATTGGGTTATTTGTACTTTTAATTATGTAGTTAATTTTTTTAGAGTCTTCTGTTCTCACCTCTTCCTGCTCATCCCAGTCCCGTGATTGGTTATACTTGTAAAGTATCCTTTGAGTTTCCTTGAGCGTGGCCATAACCCATTCACAAATCATAAAATACAAATACATGTGCAGTAGAATACACAGATAAAAGCTATCCCCAAAAAGATAATCATAACGATGAACGCTTTGTCCTGGCACCAGGAAGATCATGTAGATGGCATAGCCTCCCATCGAGTTGGAGATAATCAGACAGAGAAGAGTACACAGTATGGAGGGGCTGTAGATTTCATTTAAGTGTATTATCTTTTGACGTAGCTGAGAGAAAATTAAACTTAACTTTGGATCCTGATAGCCCTGCAATAATTGATGGTTGATCTGACAGAGACATTCGCGGAGATAACACAGCAGTGTGGCATGTTGCAGCATTATCATGTGCTGGACACCCAACATACCTATTAGGGGATATAACTCCAGCGTTTTTTTTAATTGTCCCCTAATGGCATTCCGATAACTACCAATGATCACTGTGGTAAAATGGGCATACATCAGCACACCATTCACAAACAACCATTTGCGATGTCCCGTATGCCTGGGTAAATCCCGTAAACGGTCAAAATATGAGCTCTGGATATCCAATATCGTTTCGAACCATTGTCTGAGTTCTCGATCTCTGCGGGGTCGTGACAGGGTATAGACATACATGATGACCAGTCGCATGATTAGTGTCAGGAAATTTGCATATTTTGCCACTGGATTTGCAACATAGTGCGGGGCCTGTAGTGCGGTGTACACTAGCGTATAGGGCGTGCACAGCAGAAATGTGAGACCCTCGAAATTGACATAGAGTTTTATGAAGAAATTTGCTGTCTTCAGTTGTCTCCTTTGGAAATCGATTCTCAATACCGTTGAACCCGCATAAATACTGAAGAAGACCATGAATTGCATTAGAAAGCGATTCCAATTCATTATAACCGTTCGGCAAAAAATTACTTGTACAAATGTCAAATGGTTATGTGACGAGGGCGAGTTAAATGTCGATTGAGATGTAATCGATGGCTGATGATATGAATATAGGAATCGGATGCATTAATAATTGAACACAAATTCTCTGTAGGAAGACAGTGGGGGATATTGAGAACTCGTATAGGTAATCCAATGAAAAAAATGTTTCTTTGGAAATTTCAGAATTTTCAATAAATAGTCCTCTTAAAAATATCTACTTAGTTTGTTTTTGTAAAATAATCGATGTTGTCTTATGCTGTTGGGAATAGACCCAAGCCCATAGACGATGATATCGATATGGACCTTATCGATCTCGATAATTAAAACTATCGATGAGGTCACATCGTCAAGGAGTTTTGGTTGGCACTCTTCTTCTTGAAGTTTAAAAAGGTGGATCGCCAGATCAAGCAAAATTGTGAATTTTTTATAAATAACAAGTTAAAAAGCAGTAAGTTCGGCCGGGCCGAACTTTTAATACCCTCCACCATTTGCAACGAATTTGGAAATTTTTAAAAAATAAAATCCTTAAAAAATTCAGTTAAAATTTTAAAAATACCGAATATAGCCGTTATATTGGGGTCTATACGACGTGGACATACATAGGCATTGTTTGTCATAAGCCATTAAGCAAATTCGAAACTTGAAATAAACGGCGAATAATGTAGCTAAAATCATCAAAATATCGTATATAAGGAGGTGCCGTTAAATTGGAGCTGTGCGAAGACCTGGACCAGCATAGACAATTTTCTGTCACAGGCTGTAGCATCTATTACGAACTTCAAATACCACATCTCAAACAACTTCGGTGGATATTGTACCTAAAATCGTCAAAATACCGAATATAGGGAGGTACTGATATATGGGGCCTATACGAAGACCTGGACCCGCACAGACAATTTTCTGTTACAGACTGTAGTTCCCATAACGAACTTCAAATACCAATTTTGAAACAATTCCGGTGAATAATGTCGCTAAAATCATCAAAATACCGAATATAGGGAGGTACCGTTATATGGGGGCTATATGAAGACGTGGACCTGCACAGACAATTTTCTGTCTTAGGGTGTTGTATCCATTTTGAACTTCAAATACCAAATTTGAAACAATTCCCGTGAATAATGACGTTACAATAATCGAAAAACCGAATATCGAAGA